GTCTGCTTTCTTTTTCTACTCAGAGTGTGACAGGTGTTGTGGAGTGCTTAAAGATAATCACTAGAACTAAATCCAGAAGAATTGCCAAGTTTGCCTTTGACTATGCCACAAAGCATGGACGCTCCAAAGTCACTGCTGTACATAAAGCCAACATCATGTAAGTTGAATTATGTCATATCCTTTATGTACTGTAGCTATCTGAAAAATTAGAAACCCTTTTTTGTCAGTCACTTACAGATGTGGTAACAGTGCACATTGGATAAAATGCCCTTTATTCAAAATATTAGGCAGTTGTATATACCGGTATTGTTAGAAAAAGCATTTATACAATAGTACGGCAATGAGAATGGGGCACTCTGTTATTCAGTATGTTTGTTTGCTTATTTGAATTAAAAAAATGGATGTTACTAGCACCTTATTTCCAATTATTTCCTATACCAGTCAACAGCACATTTTAGCATCCTGTCTACATATGAGCTTTCAGTGTTACCACATCAATGTGTGAAAACATTCTAGCTTGTATATCATCCCTATTGTACTTTTTCATTAGGAAACTATCTGATGGCCTATTTTTACGAAGTTGTCAAGAGATCTCAGAGCTCTACCCTAAAATCCAATTTGAATCTATGATCATTGACAATTGTTGTATGCAGTTGGTTTCCAATCCTCACCAGTTTGATGTAATGGTCATGCCTAATTTATACGGTAGTATAGTGGACAATGTTGCTGGTGGTTTAGTTGGTGGCGCAGGGGTTGTACCTGGTGAAAGTTACTCCAGTCAATTTGCCATCTTTGAGCCTGTGAGTAAAATATTTTTGTTTTTTCATTCCTCTTATACTGTAAAATACTTTATTTTCGCTTGAAATTCATTTTTGGTATTTTCGCTGAAAGAATGATTCAGTGAGAATCCAGCCATTTTGTTTTAATGAATGCCGTTATAGTGCCATATCTCTGCCATGCTTTGACTGATTATGTACAAATTTTATATATTCATTATAGATCATGTCATAGATGTACAGATGTACAAAAATAAGGCATTTCTAAAAATTGTGAAACCGGTCATTTATGGATGGTAAACTTGGTACATACATAATACATTATGGGTCCCTGATGCACATCATTTTTTTTTTTTGAAATCTGATTCAAAATGGCTGACTGGCAGCCATTTTGTTTTAATGAATGTGGTTCTGGAGCCGTATCTCTGACATGATTTCACTGATTATGTTAAATTTTTATATATTCATTCTACATCATGTTATAAATATACAGATATATTCAAAATGAACGACTGGTGGCTATTTTGTTTTAATTAATGCTGTTCTACAGCAATATTTTCCAATATGTTCAGGTACTCGTTTGACAATCAGATACAAGATGACTGAATGTCAATCATTTCAGTGTTAAAAATCACCATAATCAAGTATCAGCTTCTGGATCCATATCTCTGACATCTTTATGTTTGAACTATATTCCTATAAACAAAACTATATATCTTAAGTTTGATAACTAACAGGGACTGTGCCATGCATGGCTTGTCACATTTTTTGTCAAACACACTCAAGAATACTATTGAAATCGATACATTTTTCTTTATTCAGCAACAACTAATACAACATCATAGTCACCACATATGTACAGCACACGAATGGGAAATGCAATTTGATAGATAAATGTAGACAAAAACGTACTGCATATCTTGTTGACCCAGGATGACCTCATTTGCATACTTTGTCAGAATCCGAAGAGCATTCTGATCAGTTTTGCAGAGCCTTATGTAGTGTTTTGCCAGCATAAGTTTACAGCTATGTATCGTGAAGTGAATCACAACATGACTACTTCAATGTGATTGTTTCTGTTAAAGTACATTAATTTGTATAGCTATACAGAATGTGGGTTCTGTATGAT